AGAACAAAATGTAATGCTGTACAAGGAAAATATAGGACAACGTGAAGCTGTATAAGGAAGATAAAGGACAACGTGAAGCTGTATAATGAATATAAAGGACAACGTGAAGCTGTATAAGGAAAATAAAGGACAACGTGAAGCTGTATAAGGAAGATAAAGGACAACGTGAAGCTGTATAAGGAATATAAAGGACAACATGAAGCTGTATAAGGAAGATAAAGGACAAAGTGAAGCTGTATAAGGAATATAAAGGACAACGTGAAGCTGTATAAGGAAGATAAAGGACAACGTGAAGCTGTATAAGGAATATAAAGGACAAAGTGAAGCTGTATAAGGAAGATAAAGGACAACGTGAAACTAGCTTAAGTAGTTTAAGAGATACTTCGAAAAACAGGGTATTGCTGTATTTCTATAAAATGTAACAAAAAGTTTTTTTTTTAATTTAGTAAAAACACACTGCTATGCACAAATAGCCTTTGTAGACTTGAGCGAAATTCTGAAACAACCAAATCTACTTTACTTAATATGTATTAGTGTGCTGTCATCTTAATGTTTCTGGTTTGTTTTATACGTGCTTATGTAACTAAAATCACCTCACTTAGCCAATTGTAAAAAAGAAAGAAAAAAAAATGAAGCCAGGTAAACATCATTAAATCGATTTTATTTCTACCCTCCCTTTTAAAAGTTTTATTTTTCTTATCGTTTACCATAAAGAGCGTGAAAGAAAACTCCAACACTTACCAATTTTAGATCTAGCAGCAAGTGCTGCATCAAGAAGAAAGGCAGCTTTTTCCGCTGTGGGGGCACGGATCTCACTCTGGTTTGACAAGTGTGTTCCGTAGATAGAGTCACTCTGAAGAAGAAGGCTAGGTGAATTTGCAGGAATATCGGTCCCTGAGTGACAGGAAGAAAATTTAAACTAAAACTAATCAGTGAAAATAAATAATTGATAACACGAGAAGACGCCTTTTAGAGGAATGTAATCTAGTTTTTAACCTTTCGACAATAAAGATTCGGCAGATTTCAATGATTTCTGGTTTAAGTCTGCTAAATAGATTCAGAAACATCAATCTATTCTTTGAATCCTATTCCCAAAATTACTAGAAGTTCTAGCTTTAGAAATAGCCTGTGTGATTTATTCGTTTTGAGACTTTTCTGTAAGAAAATTATAATGATATATCACCATTTTCATTTATTTTTATGTTAATTGAAGTAGTTCAATTTCTAGACTCTCATAGGCTATAAACGTTTACTTGCAGTTCAATCCTGTAGCTGATATTGATTATGCAAAACAGTTCTTGTTTACAGTTTTACCCATAGTCCTTTTCTGCAACAGTAAAAATTATCTAAAGTTTTCTCTAACATTATGTTTATTTTGCATTGTTAGTCTTCATTAACATTGTTATGATGTAAAAGATCCCAATCCTATTGTTTCAAAAATGTTTCTTTCGGTAAAATATAGTTTAAAAACTCTATTATTGAAAATATATATGTAACTGAATCCAAAAGCAATATGTATTTTCATAACCAAAATCACCCAAACGAAACAGTTGTAAGAATCTATTAATTCAGATGACCTTTTCTTACATGACGGTATTCTATAATACCAGATGTTTCATTCGTTGCATTCAAACATTTAAGAAAGTGTTAAAGATTTGCTTTCAAAATACTATGTTCAGGAATCATAATAGTAATGCAGCATTGATTGATTAATTCTTGCTAGGCACAAAGCTACACAATGGGCTATCTAACAGAAGTAACGAAACCCGGTTTTTACAGTCGTAAGCCTGCAAACATATTACTGAGCCACTGGGAGCAGTAATACAACATCAAAATAATCAACATAATTAGTTTATGATAAGAAATGTATGATGGTAAAAAGATGAAAGAAAAAAGTATCGCTATAGAGTTACAACTATTACCAAATATTTGTTCCTCATCTCCATCTGGTTAAACAATCTCTAACACAGCTTTAATTCAGCCAACGTTTTGTTTACAAAACTTCTTCAGAAAATAATTTCTACTGTGATATTTGTAAGGAAACTTTGAGTAAATTAAGTTGTTTTTCTATCGTCTTTGAATCAAACCAGTTATGTCTAATAAAAATGCTGCCATACTTACCGACAGCAAAATCACAAAGTAAATCTTTCAACTTTTCGTTTCTTCCTGTAAGCTCGATTGCAGAAGCTCTTACAGAAAACCGCGCCCCTGTCTTCTCTTTCTGTTCTGTGATAAGTTTAAAAAGCCAGGCAATAGCACACGGCATAACTCCAAGTTCTTGAATCGGCGAGCTTTGTCCAATCATAGTGTAAGTTTTACCTGTTTACAAAATCATTCCATTACCATGGCTAGAGCGTTTAAATGAACCGCAAACTTGTATGACGTGCATAATCCTGATATGTAGAAATAGGTACAAACAACAAAAAGCAACTAATTCAGTGTGTGTGTATATTAAAAAAATATAACATTTTAAAACTATATTTTAAATTGGGTAAACTATGACAGTTGAATATATATTATTTCATGTCAAGGATATTCGTCGGGTACAATTTTGAATAAGTACATAATGCATTATCGATTTAATTACGTGTAACTGAAATAAAAATTAGAATATATTATTTTATAAAGAAAACATATTATCTTGAATAAGTACTATACCTAGCTTTGTATGTCCGTATACGAAAAGACAACCATCCACTCCGTTTACGACAGATTGAATAACTTCGGTCAGAGACGTTGTTATAACTTCAGTCTTGACAGAAAAAAAAAGTTTAGAATTCACAAGATGTTTTACATTTTTAAAGTCACTTATAAAATACTCTACACGTTTAAGATCAGTTAGTTTGTTCGAAAATCTGTACTTTTAAAGTTTTAGTAGCAAAATGTTGTTAATGTTAGTTTTAGTTTAAAAGTTTGTTAATGTTAAAGTTTTAGTAGATAAGTTTTGTTAATGTTAGTTTTAGTTTACAACTTTAGTTGATGTTAAAGTGTTATTAGAAAATTTTTGTTAATGTTAGTTTTAGTTTCAAGTTTTATTAATGTTAAAGTTTTAGTAGATAAGTGTTGTTAAAGTTTTAGTAGCAACACTAAAGCAAGTTATCGATGACCTACATCACAGCCTCACTGCATCTAGCCCACGATGACCTACGTCACAACTTCACAACATCAAGTTTGTGATGGCCTACATCACAATCACACAACATCAAGTTTTCGATGGCCTACATCACAGCCACACTACATCAAGCCCTCGATCATCTACATCACAACCTCACCACAGCAAGCCCTCGATGACCTACATCTCAGCCTCACTAAATCAAGCCCTCACTGACCTACATCACAGCCTCACTACATCAAGCCCTCGCTGACCTACATCACAGTTTCACTACATCAAGTCCTCGATGACCTACATCACAACATCACTACATCAAGTCCTCGATGACCTACATCACAGCCTCACTACATCAAGCTATCGATCATTTACATCACAACCTCATTACATCAAGTCCTCGATGACCTATATCATAGTCTCACTACATCAAGTCCTCGATGACCTACATCACAGCCTCATTACATCAAGTCCTCGATGAACTACATCACAACTACACTACATCAAGCCCTCGATCATCTACATCACAACCTCACCATAGCAAGCCCTGGGTGACCTACATCACAACCTCACTACATCAAGTCCTCGATGGCCTACATCACAGTCTCACTACATCTAGTCCTCGATGACCTACGTCACAGCCTCATTACATCAAGTCCTCGATGACCTACGTCACAGCCTCACTACATCAAGTCCTCGATGACCTACGTCACAGCCTCTCTACATCAAGCCATCGATGACGACCGTATATTTGTCACTCTCTCATTGAGCTCCACGTCGTCGTGATATATATACGTTAACCATCTTGATACCAGCAGACGATCAAAAACCCTTTCCAAGAGTAGGAAGAAGTTACTGACTTTCCTGGCAATAGCCAAAAATACTGACAAGGTTTTATCATTATCATCATACAGCAGACCGAAAGACGCGTCAGGAAATTACCCGAAACGTCATCATCCATTGACTCTGTCATCCAGAGGATTTAGATATCCCAAGGCTGTTGGAGTTGATAATATACCTTCTTTCGTGATAAAAACACAGCGTGAATCGTATACCATAATGTAAATAATATTATATTTGATTGGTTAATAATGATAATGTACATTATTAATTATAACAAAAGTGTATACAGCGTATATGAAAACTCTCATTACATGTTTAGAAACAATAGAAGTAAAGCACCTGCAATTTTAATTTAATTGTTTAAGTTTTGATCTGCAGAAACATGTGGTTGCATATTGTGTTTGTGAACAGTTGAGTTTCTACGTATTATACTCGATTTTAACCGATATTTGACGTTTAATGAAAGTACGTTAATTTATCACACGTAAGTTTCTAAAATGATTACATTTGATTCGCTTTTAAAGCTATATTGTAATGTAGACATCGACATACTTGTGTGGTTTCCTGAGGAAAAACAGCATCAAAAGCAAACATCTTTGGTGCTGCCACTCCTAGTTTGCGGTCTAGATGACTTGTCATCTCACTTGTAGAAGGATCACAAAGTGATATGTGTTTTTTCTTAACGTCGACAGACAAAAAGGATGTCTGACTACTGTCTTTGGCATTCGAGAGAACTGGACTCACTCGGAGCATGACTTTCACCTGAAAAAATAAAGTATTATAATAATAACAGTATATCCTCTTTAAGGGTTGGATATGTTTCAAGTATTAATACTTGACTTAAGTATTAGCTATGTTTCAAGTTTTAATACTTGACTTAAGTATTAGTTATGTTTCAAGTTTTAATACTTGACTTAAGTATTAGTTATGTTTCAAGTATTAATACTTAACTTAAGTATAAGTTATGTTTAACTATATTACTTGACTTCAGTATTAGCTATGTTTGAAGTTTTAATACCTAACGTAAGTATTAGCTATGTTTGAAGTTTTAATACTTAACGTAAGTATTAGCTATGTTTGAAGTTTTAATATTTAACTTAAGTATTAGCTATGTTTGAAGTTTTAATACTTAACGTAAGTATTAGCTATGTTTAAAGTTTTAATATTTAACTTAAGTATTAGCTATATTTGAAGTTTTAATACTTGTAAGTATTAGCTATATTTGAAGTTTTAATACTTAACGTGAGTATTAGCTATGTTTGAAGTTTTAATATTTAACTTAAGTATTAGCTATATTTCAATTTTCATTGCTAAAGAAAGTATTAACTATGTTTCAGCTCATTGCTTGATTTAAGTACACAATGTTTTTAAAGTTTTAGCACGCATATCTTTAAATATAAAGCATTTTAATATATTTGCTTTGAGAGCTTAATGTTATAAGAAATTCCACGTTCAAGATATTTAATTAGAAGTAATAATTCTCGCTATATGTATCTAAGAGTAAGACGGATGTTAAAAAATGAAACATATTTTGACTTTCTGTAGGTCAATCACATCACAGTTCAATAAATTTCAGGTGTGTTATTACGAATCTAACTGTGTACAGCTGCTTTAAGCTATCAACTTCAGCACGATGTTCAAAAGTAATGTCAGATGCAAAGCCATTTTACATATAATCCATTAACATTAGACAGATATTTAACTTAATATTAAAACATGGTATATATTTTTGATAGCATAATAATGGTGAAAACAATACGCCAGTTCAGACAATATAAATAATTGTGAGCTACGACATATCTTCCTAAACAATACAATACCAGTGAATCACAATGTATCAAAGTAACAAGTAAATGTACCACAACAAACCAATCCTAATCATGTGATTAACTATTTGCCTGTTGAGTATGCTCCTGGTAGTAAAGACATTAGTTTAACGACGATTTTCTGGAATTCAAGTCGGACAAGTATACAATATATTTATTAGTATTTACTTTACTCGACGGCTTAGCTTCTGTGTGTCTGTCTATCCATCCATTTTGATTTTGAATCCGTTGTGAAAAGAGGAATCAGGTGAATGGGTTTATTGCACAGGTTTTTTTGCATAAGGTGAAAATATATTCATGTACTGGTCTTGTGTTAAAACTATAATAGTATGCCTTTATGCAAATAATATGTAGTATGACTATTAATTTCATGTCACAGATGGCTAGAGAGATAGACCTACTAGTCAATAACGTATTGAAAGTAAAAAAGCAACAAATTCTATATACCCCACATGCATTAAAAAATCTTTTATCGTAACTTAATGTTTTCACTTGTGTCAATAACGCTAAAGAAAGGGATGAGAGTTATTTTTAATTTGCTGGAGTAATCGTCCCCTGGACGGAAGTTATATAAATTTGTGATTAATGAAAAGTTATCTAAGGACATGAAAAATTGCTTCCCTTATATGTAATTTTGAAAAACCCAAAAAGGCCCATAGAAACTGCAAAACACAAAATGTGAAAACGCAGCTTGGCACGTATCTCCGTGTGGACCCAAGAAATTTTCATGCAAAAGTTGGTGAAGATCCATCAACAGGGGGCGAAGTAGTGATAAAAATCGCCCAGAAAAACCGAAAAATGCAAAACTAAGAATTTGTATATACCCCCACATAGACCTAATGAACCTACATACCAACTTGGCGAAGATCCATATACATCCTGCGAAGTAGTTACATTTATATAGATGCCAATAAACATGTTTTCGTTAGGCCTTGAATTATAACACTTAAAAATACAACTAACGTCTCCACCATAAGTTACTAAAGCAGAAGCCTAAATGTTAAAGAGTGTTTGAGGCTAACCAATCCGGTACGAAATATAATAACGTTAACCAATCCATACTAATATATTAGATTGTCAAGAAATTAATGTCGCTTTTTTTAGATGAAAAAACCCGAATAACATTTATTGAATGAAATATACTCCATTCTTATCAATGCTTTTCCATCTTACAATCAGGTTGTTAATGCCCTGATTAAAGAAATCACTT